GATATCGTCCTCTTTTGGAAGGTCAAACAAAGTAGTTTCGCTTTCACAACGAAGCACACAGCGTCTTCAGGACATGGCTGCAGCGTCAACAATACTACAGCGAGAATAAAAGTTACGCCTTCTTTGCGTGAACATTTGGGCTACGTTATGCAAATCTTCCCACATCGTGACGTAGATATGTGGGGGCGTGTTAGAACGAGCCGTTTTAGGTAGGCGTGGCTGAGTCTTAACTTTTATAAAGAATATCTCTTTGGTTTTGAGACTTTAGTGTTTGCAACTTTACAGATCTTCTTTATGCACCAAGAGCTTGTAACACTTCAAAGAGAAAGGAAAATTTGAAATCGCATCATATGACCCCTTTAATATGAATAAAATACTACATTTTAGTAGGGAGTGCTATTAGATAAAAACATCGCTTACAGCACCTTTAAACTTCCAGTACCTGGTTTTTCTCATCCTCAGCAGGGGTTGGTGGTGCGGATCGTCCTGGGTTGATGGTGGACTTGAGTTTCTCCAGCACTGAGCGGCTTTCAGGTTTCTTCTCTCCCTGTAGAGTCGTGTTGGTCAAGGGCTTCACTGGGTGAGGGCTGTACAGCGGTGCGAAAAGGAGATAAATGAGGTATTTACGTTGATCTAGGCATTTCATCAGGGTGTAATTGGTACTGTGTAAGCATCTTTTACTTTTTCTTTAAACCATTTTTTAGATCTCATGTTTATTAACTTCCTGATGAGTTAATTAGTATAACAAAAGCAATAGCACACAGTTGAGGAAGCAATGGTTAAAAGTAATGAAAAAACAACGAGTTGCCTTTTTATATCACAAAACTTGTTTGGAGATCTTCTCTTAGCAGTGTTGTTAATTTTAAAGCTGCAGTCTGTAACTTTTTTGTGTTCAAAATTTACAAAATTTATATAATAATCGAGTACACCATGAATCCATTTTCCAAACCGTGTATTTGGCTTGTCCTGAATCACTACGGTACACCTATAATACGTGTTTATATGCAGATTATTTTAGACTGGTTCGGGTAGGTACCGCTGCGGAGTAGCCCAGTACCTGCGTGATTCGTCCTAGACATAAACAGAGAGAAGTAGCTACGGCTACAATGTTCTTCCGCAAGACGCACGCAGTGTTTATTAACCGCTAGAGCGCCTAAAGTTACGGACTGCAGCTTTAACTAAAAGTTAAACATAACATTAAAAATTTTTTTTCATTAATTGAAATAAGGTGAAATTACTGTCAATATTAGATATGTAAATATTAGAACAAAAAAAAAAGAAAACAAAGCTGTAGTACTGAAATCATTAAAACAAAAGCGAAATATATATAAACTGAAATCCTTTGGATAAATAAAAATTTGATTAAAGACGTTGCCACTTCTAAAAGGTTTTTTCTCAAGTCTCAAACAATTTAATATCAATACTGTCTAGGAGAAGCACTTTGAGAAGCATCTTTATGATTTTTGTCTCTTTAGGTACTAATAGACAGGTCAGTCAGCCCTCATAATGATAGTCAACATCTCACATCAAACCTCTCATGAACAGTAGATGCATACAATACAACTTTCATCTAACTTTAGTTACCTCTACAAAGGAATATGTGTAGCTGCCAAAACAGAATGAAGGCTGAAAGAAGCAACAGAAAAGCAAAGATGAAAAATGAAAGAACTAAAAGTAATGCAGCATGAGCAAACCAGGAGGAAACATAAAAAGAGATGGTGCTGGAAAAATGCATTTACACATGTGTCAAAGTCCGAATTATAGCAAGTTGTGAGTGCAAAAACAAAGTTTGCTCTTGGCCAGCATATGTGAGAGCATTTATGAGCCTGTCTTAGTGCACCTGCTGTGAGAGAGAATGAGGTCATTTCTCAGGTGAGAGCAGAGGTGAGTGCGCTTTTAAAGGCAGTGAGGTCTCACCTGCTCTCCTCATGGGGCAGGAGGACGTTAGCTGGCTGTGTCTCCTCAGGTGAGAGGGAGAGCGGTGCGTCAACGTGGGGCTGGGCGGTGGAGAAGCATGTGGAACCCATGCTGGGCAACTCGATTGGGGGGTTCGCAGGAAGAGAAGGGTCAGGGTGGAGACAGGAATTAGTACCTGCTAATGGGGTGGGTGAAGGGGAAGGATCATGCAAAATGAGATCTGACGTAGGATGAGGAGAGCCTGGGAGGGAATCGGCACCCGAGACAGTTTTGGGTGAGCTTGTGGTTGAGTGCGGTCTGATGCGGGCTGATCTGACTTCTGTTTTATAAGGGCTTCTGGAGTTTCTTGGAGCTACCCTAGCATGCAAGTCCTCGAAGCTTATTTGTTCCTCCAGCGTCGAACAAGATTCCTCGACCTTGTTGTTCTTTAAGAAGCAGACTTCAGAGTTTAGGTTACCTTCTGTTAAATGATTATGCTCCATGCTATCATGTGTAGTGAGCAAGTCATTGTCTTTTGCTACCTCTTGTTTGATTTGCATTGTCACAGTGTTGTCTTTGCTTGAGCATGTTTGAGTGATCACAGTGATCTCTTTGTTGAGGAGAACGTCAGCCACGTTGTAAGACTCACAGTTTGAAGCAGTGTTTTGGTGTTCACAAGTGTCGACTTTATGTCCTCCCAGTTCTTCACTAGATCTCTCAAAAGGTGACGAGCCATGATTATGGTTTTGTGAGTCAGACAAATATGATGTGATATTACTACGGGTGTTTTTTGGTGAAAATATCTCCAACTCTGATGCTATTCTGCACAATATATCCTCTGGTAATCCTGGGGAGCATCTGGGAAGCGAGGAACCATTCGAGTGCAAATTTGAACAATTTTTGGATGATTTAACACCATCTTTATTCATTTCAAAAGATGGTTGCAACTCAGACGGTGAACTTTCAGAATCAATAAAAGCAAACTCTGAAGTACTTTCTGTGTTGTTGTTCGAATCTCTAGGTGAGAGGGTCAACAAACCCACGCCATCGGTTTTAGTCCTGCATTGTTGTTCATTGGAGACCTTTATTTCACAGGGCGATTCTGAATCGTGTTTCGGTTGGGTCTGAGGTGAACTGCAAAGTGATTCGGTCACTGTGGTTTCCCAGTCAGATGGGAAACACAAAGTTTCAGGAACTGTGTACTCAGATTCAGAACTTCCGAGTGCATCTTCACCGAAACCATTCGGTGAGCCAGTACCATTGTTGTTTGTGGCAAAATCATGACCCCTTGCTTCCCCAACCATTAATTCGTTCAGTCTGATACCGCTGTGCAACTCTGCATCTATCTTGTTACACCCTACTGAAGAAATATGGTGCAACTCTTTATCTGAACATAAAATCTGAGAGTTCCTCTTCACATCTCCATCTCTCACATGCTGAAGGGAGGCAAAGTCAGTCTGGGAAAGGAAGCAGGCCTCTTTCTGCACAGCCAGCTCCTGGGCTCTATCCAACCAGCTGTCCGTGGTGATCCCTTGGGTCCTCATGGGTCTACGTGGTGGTAGAGGAGGCAGATCCCATGGCCTTGAAACACTCATGTCAACTTCATCAACCCTTAAACCAATGTTCGCTTTGCTGTTTACACACTGGTTTGTATTTGGTACCTGTGAGAGAAACGGTGCCGATGGAGGTCTGGCTGGAGTCCCACTTGGTGATTTGAGCCGGCTGGTGGCAAATGCTTCAAAATCATCCCATTCCCCAGCCCTCTCAGACAGAGAGTGGTTCGGATTAGTTTTTGAGTTTCGATCTGGTGTCTCAGGCATAATAGCTGGAAGAGATCTCTGTCTGGACATACTTCTGGGTCTTTCCCATTTTACTGCATACATTTTGTTCTGTGCTCCATTATGGAGGGGACTGCATCCGACTGGATAATGACAAAGACTGGAATTAAGAGAACAGTAGCCAGCAGTCGGAGACTTCAGTGCTTCCTCGGCTATAAGATCCTCAAAAAAGGGGTTTTGATGTAGTCGTGTGAGGAAAGGGTTGGAGGGAGAGATGGAAGGGGGTGTTGGGGAAGAGTGGGTGAATGGGTTGGTGTGATTGCCACTAGGGGGAGACACCGAGCCAGTAGTGCAACCGAGGGGAAGAGAGCATGGGGGCTGACTGGGGGAGCAAGGGATCTGACAGGGGGTGTCTGAGCTGCTCTCTACCTTAGGAGAGACTCCCAGCCTGTGGAGGGAAGGCACAAGTAGTCCTCTTAGTCATAGTGTGCAATGGGCCATAAAATCTAACTATGAGTGGGGAGGGGAGAGAGACAGTTCTTTCTATTACAGAGACACCTCTTAAAGGGATAGTTCACCCAAAAAAGAAAATTCTGTCATTAATTACTCACCCTCATGTCGTTCCAAACCCGTAAACCGAAACCTTCGTTCATCTTCGGAACACAAATTAAGATATTTTTGATGCATTCCGAGAGCTCTCTGACCCTCCCATAGACAGCAAGGATCTTTACACGATCAAGGCTCAGAAATGAAGCAAGGAGATTGTTAAAATAATCCATGTGACATCAGTGGTTCAACAGTAATTTTAAGAAGCTACAAGAATACTTTTTGTGTGCAAAGAAAACAAAAATAACGACTTTATTCAACAATTTGTCTCCTCCTCGTCACCCTAGCGCCATTTTGGAGCGCATCACATATGTAAACAACATATGCTGTTCTGTGTCAGCAGCACCATACGTCGTTTACAATTTGATTTGAACGTAAACAACGTATCCGTGTACATACATTGCATACGTTGTTTAGGGTGACGAGGAGGAGACAAATTGTTGAATAAAGTCGTTATTTTTGTTTTCTTTGTGCACAAAAAGTATTCTTGTAGCTTCATAAAATTACTGTTGAACCACTGATGTCACATGGATTATTTTAACAATCTCATTGCTACGTTTCTGCGCCTTGATCGTGTAAAGATCCTTGCTGTCTATGGGAGGGTCAGAGAGCTCTTGGAATGCATCAAAAATATCTTAATTTGTGTTCTGAAGATGAACGAAGGTCTTACGGGTTTGGAACGGCATGAGGGTGAGTAATTAATGACAGAATTTTCATTTTTGTGTGAACTATCTTCTATATAATAGACGAAAAACTGTCTTTGAATTCAAATTTGTTCATGTTTTGATCGGAAGCGTCTGGCATGTTTTGACCAGCTTGTACATTGTTCCTACATAAATACTGCTGGCTTAGCAGGAACAAAAGGGGAGAAAAGACATTACCTGGCTGTCAGCCTATAAACTCTAACTAGGGGTGGGTGATATACCTGTAAACACGATAAACGGGTACACATTTCAAAATGGTATAAATCTCGGATCATCATCTCTAGTGTGATTATGCTAAAGTGATGTTTCGATGTTGTTGTCTTTAAAAAGTTTAGCATTTGCATTCATTTTTAAGCCTTGCCAGTTTAAACTTTCAAGCAATTTTAAAACATTCAAGCACAATAAGACATAAGACATGAAAGAATTCAGTTTTGTTTCCCCATTTCACACAGCATGAGTACTGAATTACATTCTTTTTCATGGTTTATTTTGCTTAAATTGTCAAATATTCAAAAAGTTATGAGACAATGCCAGTCTTGGCAATACCGGTTTATTCATATAAACACAGTTGGTGATGTTTTTAGTGAACATAGAAAGTTGGGAGAAAATGGGATGTGTATCAATATATTGTATGATGTATCCGTTTTAGGTCCTAAAGTGACAGCAGCATAATATACCTGCTGTCTGTGTCATTTAATGTCTTTTAATCAAACAATGGGGGGAAAAAAAACAAGAGAAAGCACTCACTGATCTTGAATGAACTACTTTTGTAGCTTTAATAATAATCCCTGTATATTTAATTGATACAGTGAAGACTGTGCAGTGTTTTATTGTACATTTGATTACTTTATTCAATTTCTGTAGTATTTCTTACCCCTTTAAGAAAGACATACCTAAAATGGCGCTATTTCATTTTTTTCTTTGTTTTATTGTAGTTATTTGTTTACTTGCTTTCACTAAGCTTGAGAACTTATTTTTATTAAGTAAGCTAGTACTGTACATAATGTATAATTGTAAAATTTCTATTTCATATAAAATTTTATCATAGCAACCTTATTTCAAGCAAAAAAAATAACTACATCAATTTGTGACATATATTGTTATGACATAAAATTACTAATAAAGATTTGTCATATCGCCCACTCCTAACTCTAATAAAAATAAAACAGGTTAAACTATAAGCAATGGCTGAATGTGTCAAAAAAATCATGCTGATGAATGAAAAATAAATTAAATGAATTACTGAAATGTGAAATTAAAAAGTACATAAATCAATCAATTTAATGTAAGTGGACATTTCTTATAAAAATAGCTGATGTTTTTGAATGCTTCAACAAATTCGTGGAACTTGACAAACAATTTTTTTATTAAAATGCACACATTAACAATCCCTTCTTTGAAAAATGTCTTGACAGGACTGAGATGGAAAAAGCTGCTGCAGTAACTGTTGCATCAGCAAATTCAAACACTCCTTTTTCTAAGAATATTCTCTGAGGACCAGAATGCAGGCTGACATTCAAAGCCATCCACTTAAAAACAAAGTATCCCTTTAGAAGAACGTCTGGCAGTCAAATATAGATCATGGGGAACAGCTATTGATGATACTGATACATGTGCAATGTCAGACATCTTTTGTACTGTAACATAAAACCTAGTAGCCTTGCTTGGCCTTCACTCACCTTGGCTTGTTCTGGGAGTCACCGGAGCCAAACCATCCTCTGCGTCTGCCCTCAAGAGGAGCAGAAACCTGGCTCTGCTCCGGCTTGGCTGGGAGAGAGTCACTCCTCCCGCTAGAAAACAGAGTTTTCCTCAGCTTTTTTCCTTTATCCACCACTTCCACAGGTCCAGCGGCCTGCACTGGCTTTCCCTCTGAGGTCTTTGTTTTATTGTAGTTATTTGTTTACTTGCTTTCACTAAGCTTGAGAACTTATTTTTATTAAGTAAGCTAGTACTGTACATAATGTATAATTGTAAAATTTCTATTTCATATAAAATTTTATCATAGCAACCTTATTTCAAGCAAAAAAAATAACTACATCAATTTGTGACATATATTGTTATGACATAAAATTACTAATAAAGATTTGTCATATCGCCCACTCCTAACTCTAATAAAAATAAAACAGGTTAAACTATAAGCAATGGCTGAATGTGTCAAAAAAATCATGCTGATGAATGAAAAATAAATTAAATGAATTACTGAAATGTGAAATTAAAAAGTACATAAATCAATCAATTTAATGTAAGTGGACATTTCTTATAAAAATAGCTGATGTTTTTGAATGCTTCAACAAATTCGTGGAACTTGACAAACAATTTTTTTATTAAAATGCACACATTAACAATCCCTTCTTTGAAAAATGTCTTGACAGGACTGAGATGGAAAAAGCTGCTGCAGTAACTGTTGCATCAGCAAATTCAAACACTCCTTTTTCTAAGAATATTCTCTGAGGACCAGAATGCAGGCTGACATTCAAAGCCATCCACTTAAAAACAAAGTATCCCTTTAGAAGAACGTCTGGCAATAAATATACAGATCATGGGGAACTGCTATTGATGATATTGGTACACAAGCAAGGTCAGACATCTTTTGTTCTGTAACATAAAACCTAGTAGCCTTGCTTGGCCTTCACTCACCTTGGCTTGTTCTGGGAGTCACCGGAGCCAAACCATCCTCTGCGTCTGCCCTCAAGAGGAGCAGAAACCTGGCTCTGCTCTGGCTTGGCTGGGAGAGAGTCACTCCGCCCGCTAGAAAACAAAGTTTTCCTCAGCTTTTTTCCTTTATCCACCACTTCCACCGGTCCAGCAGCCTGCACTTGCTTCCCCGCTGAGGTGGCGGCTCCTTGGGTCCGACTCTGAGCTTCATCTGCCTCACTGTCCTCCTTCTTGCTCTTTTCAATGGACCAACGTCTCCCATCGCTCTTGTGCAAGTCTTCACCACGTCGGGTCAGATTCTGGAGAGAGCGAGAAAGGGGTGCACATTTCTCCAGCAGGGAGCGCTTGGCCGGGATAGTGCTTGGACTCTTGGGGCTGACAGGCTCGGATGAGTAGATGTGGCTACCGTTGATGCAGAGGGTTGATTTGGAGAGCGGCATACTTTGGCCTTTAAGGTTTTCCACAGCAGGGCTGGGATGAGGAACACCTGTGATCTTACTGGCTTCATCACTGTGTGCGCGCTTGTGAGTCATCACTTTAAAGACAGAGGTCACAGAGAGAAGAGAGAGAAAGGGTACAGACAAAGATCAGTATATGGCCCAAACCATACATTTGAGCAAAGGTTTTAAAGACTTTGTCTTTATTCACTCACCCTCATGTCATTCCAAACATGTTTGACTTTCGTTCATCTTTGAAACACAACAGAAGATATTTTGAAAAATGTCTCAGGGTTTTTTAGTCCACACATTGAAAGTCATTGGGTCCAATGTTGTTTTGGACCCCAATGACTTCAACTGTACGCACAAAAACTGTTTAAATATTTTTAAAAATATCTTTGAATATGATGCACAGAATAAAGAAACTCATACGAGTTTAGAACAACACAAGGGTTGTCATAAACTATCATATGGAGCCCACAACTGACCTTTTATCCCACCTTCAGTGTCCATTCGGAAGGGCTCCATCACTCTGCTGCTGTAGATGGGTGTTCTGGACAGCTCTACTGAGACGAATGGATCCCCGGCGGATGATGCAATGCTACTGTCTGATGCCAATGACGAACACGACCGAGTGTCTGAATTCTTGCGCAGTTTCCCCTTAAGGAAGAAGTCTTTCACCTTGCTCCGGTGTACATCGACCCCCTCTTCCTCACCCGGCTCATCTGGTCCACCATCTCCTGCAAAGGGAGGAGCTACAGACCCTGATAGTGCGGCGTAGCGGCCAGGTAAAATGGCAGAGGAGGATTCCACGTCTCCTCTCTTTCTTCCTGTGACGCGGTCCTTCAGCTTTCCAAATGCAGAACGGGGCTTGTCCTTTATGGTCAGATCGTACATGCTAGCGGTCATGTTGTTGCGGGTGAACTGGACGGTGACCTGCAGCTCGCCCCGCTCCTTCTCCTTCCGACCAGCCTTGGAGTGCAGCTTGAGCCACCTTAAACACAGAAAGAAAATCGCTACACTTAAAAGTTATTTTTTTGAAACAAAGTAATCTTTAGCAATTATCTAATGACAATTTTTCACTGTACATTATAATGCAGTAATAAATAAATTCCCTTGTAGTATTTAAAATAAATGATTACAGTCTTTAGTGTTATATATTACAAAATATTATAGAACTGTAATATATGTAATTCATCTGTTAATTACCATTATATAAATATAATTAAACATCAGGCCAGAATGGTGCATCCTTACTTTCAGAACATCAATATCTTTTAATAATTATCATAACATGAATTATGAATTATCTTAATGATCCTAGTTTTCTTTAAACAAAGTATACAGTACCCTTCAAAAGTTTAGATTTTTGTTTTTGAAAGACATTTCTACTTTCATTCAGGATGCATTGAATTGATCAAAAGTGACTTTAAAAGACTTACAGTATTACACAAGATTTTCTTTTGAACATTCTATTCATCAAAGTATCCTGAAAAAAATTATCACCGTTTCCACAAAAATCTTAAACAGCACAACTGTTTTGAACATTGAAAATAATAAGAAATGTTTCTTGAGCACCATGGCATAGCTGTGCCTACACATGAATAAATTACATTTTTGTAATATTACAATAGAAAGTTATTTAAATTGTAATATTTCTCAATATGATGCAGTCTTTACTGCATCAAATAAATGCAGCCTTGGTGAGCATGAGAGACGTCCTTCAATTGTAATTATGTTTATTTTTTTCTTTTGATTTTAGGATGAAATTTTCACACTTATAAAATTATGCTTTCACTGTCGGCCTCATCTTTTATAACGCTGGCTTACAATTTCCTGCTCCACACTGAAGCAAGCGGCTATGACCTATACTGCAGCGGGGGCTTCTTGAACGAACGTTACTGCCTTAGCATGGTGCCGTCCCTTTGTCTCACACAGAACCAGTGGTCAAACTACACTGAACAAAATTATAAACGCAACACTTTTGTTTTTGCCCCCATTTTTCATGAGCTGAACTCAAAGATCTAAGACTTTTTCTATGTACACAAAAGGCCTATTTCTCTCAAATATTGTTCACAAATCTGTCTAAATCTGTGTTAGTGAGCACTTCTCCTTTGCCAAGATAATCCATCCACCTCACAGGTGTGGCACATCAAGATGCTGATTAGACAGCATGATAATTGCACAGGTGTGCCTTAGGCTGGCCACAAGATTGCGTTTATAATTTTGTTCAGTGTATTTCCTCCATTTCCGGTAGAGCAGAGAGCACCTCATGTGCGCACACGTGCAGAGAGCCAAGACAAACGCCTTTCACTGTGAGACGCAGAAGAGAGAGAAAGAGAAGGCGAGAGAGGTGCAACTCTGAGCTCAATTAAAGCCAGATGTGCAGAACAGCCTCATGCCTACAACGACATGTGATGACTCAGAATAGTGTGTGCAGAGACGGACATTTCTCCATACGTCTCTCCACATGACCTGAAGCGCTGAGAGGCGTACATGGCAGTGCAAACTTTAACTAGAAAATTTAAGTTTTTCAAGATAAACATTGAATGTTGACTTGACAAAGTCATTTGTTATGCAGTTGCTAGACCGCTCCTCCCACCACACTCCTGCATTACGGTGTTCAAGATGGTTGCTAGGGCCGTTGCTAAGGTGCATTGTAGTTTAGTGGTTCTCAACCTTTTAAAGGGGTCATATGATGCTGCTAAAAAGAACATTATTTTGTGTATTTGGTGTAATGAAATGTGTTTATGCGGTTTAAAGTTAAAAAAACACATTATTTTCCACATACTGTACATTATTGTTTCTCCTCTATGCCCCGCCTTT